TCGGCTTTTCTTTTGAGGTGTGGTTAGTGATTTTATTTAAAAAAAAAAAAAAATTGAAAATTCATTTTATTTTTTTTTTCGAAAAACAAAATAGATGTTAACCAATCCATCATTGTTATTCTGTGATGAACCTACCTCAGGATTAGATTCTTATTTAGCTGAAAGTGTTATAAAAATTTTGAAAAAAATGTCACAATCTGGTCGTACAATTATCTGTACAATACATCAACCATCATCTGAAGTATTCATTTTGTTCGATAAAATATCATTGCTTACACAAGGAAAATTAGCATTCATTGGAAGTTCAGGTAAATTTGTAATTTGAATTTGTTAAATTATTATTATCAAAATCAATGAATTAATTGATTGAACAACTTTTTTTCAATCAAAAACAGGTGAAGCTAATGAATTTTTTCAATCACTTGGTTTCAATTGTCCACTGAATTTTAATCCAGCTGATTATTATCTACGACAAATATCTATTATACCTGGATCAAAAGATGAATGTCTACAGCGGATTAATGTAAGATGAAGAATGGAAAATTTTTTTGTTATTTTTAATCCAAATTGTCTTTGTTTTTTTACACACAGCGTATTTGTCATGAATTTAAAGAACGTAATGAAAATAATGAATTAAAAAATGGAAATCATTTAGTTGAAGAATCAACAGCCACCGATATGATAATTGATAAACAAAAATCTAAATCATCATCATCATCATCAACAACAATAATTTATAAAGCATCATGGTTTGAACAATTTAATGCATTATTATGGCGTTCATTCGTATCGAATATTCGTGAACCAATGATAACTCGGATAAAATTTTCACAAACATTAACTGTTGCATTATTATTGGGTATTGTTTATTGGCAACAAAAATTAGATCAAAAAGGAATAATGAATATTAATGGTGCTATATTTATATTGATTATCAATCTAACATTTATGAATGTTTTTTCCGTTATAAATGTATGTTTGTTTGTTTTTAAAAGTGATTTGATTTTTCTTATTTTAATCTTGTTTTTTATTTATTCAATCAATAGACATTTTGTAGTGAATTGCCAATATTTTTACGTGAATATAATAATGGAATGTATCGTGTTGATGCATATTTTTTAGCTAAAATGTTTTCCGAATTACCATATCAGATAATATTTCCAACAATATTAGTTTCATTATTATATTATATGATTGGTTTTTATGATTCATTTAGTTCATTTTTAATGTTTATTTTTATATCAAATTTGATTGCAAATTGTGGAATTTCATTTGGTAAATATTTTTTTATTTTTATTTTGTAATGTTAATCCTCTCTCTCTCTCTTTTCAATATCAATAGGCTATATGATCTCATGTTTATCATCATCAACAAAAATGGCAATTGCATTATCATCACCATTAATATTACCATTATTATTGTTTGGTGGTTTTTTCATTAACAATAGTACAATACCAATATATTTTAAATTATTTAAATATATTTCATGGTTTTATTATGGTAATGAAGCATTGATTATAACACAATGGATTAATATTGATAATATTACCTGTTCAACGACGACAACAATGATTAATGAAACAAACAATAATTTCCATCATGATGATGGTGAACAACGTTGTCTAACAAAAGGAATTTCCGTAATTGAAGAATTAAGTTTTGATCCAAACAATCTTTTTATCGACATTTTAGCATTAATAATATTGATTATTGTAATGCGTTTTTTAGCATACATTTGTTTATCATTAAAATCAAAGATAAGATAATTTAATTTAATTCAATTTTTTTTTGGTCCATAAAAATAAATTTCAAAAAAAAAATTCAAAAATTTCGAATCACTGAATTTATGAAATGCGCTTCGTAAAAAAAAAGAAATGAATGTTTAAGGTGTTTACGAGAATTCACAACACATCAATTTTGTTTTCTTTTTTTTCGCTTGGTACATTCGATGATAAAGATGTAAAAAAAAGAGAAATTCTTTTATCAAATTTGGCCACCAACAACAAAGAAATTATGTCACGAAAAACATTATTTACCGGTATTTTATGTTTTGTTTGTGGTATATTGATTGGATATGCAACAAGTCTTTTGACAATAAATGATGATGATCATGTTCGAAAACGGCTAAAACGAAATTTATCCGACAATAATGATCTGGTGAAAACATTACGAAAAGATTTTGAAAAAGAAATTCATGTTCTTTATGAAAAATTAGATGCCATTCATCAAGAATTACAATTAAGTAAAAATAAAAAAATCAATAATAAACGTAATTCGGATATTTCATCCGATGAAACTGATCAAGCGGAATGTTTTTATGATACAGCCGAAATGTAATGTATTTTTGCAAATGCGAATGATTTTTTAAATTCTTTTCTCTTCATAGCTTTAAGGATGAAATTGATGAACAAAAAAATGATTATCAACAAATTGATGATATGTTTGAAAATGATTCGATTGATGTGCAATATATTTATGATTATATCAAACAAAAAGTGTCAAAAGTAATGTTTTTTAAATCAAAAAGAGCCGTTCTATTGAAAATTTACCGTTCTTTTATTATTTTATTTTATTTTTTTGTTTTAGATTCCAAATGATGCAGAAATGTTATGGAGACATTCGAAAGCAGCACATTTGCTTAGTAAATCAACTAATCATATGAATAATTTGGAATCAAAAAAACAATTACTTTATGAATCGTTTGATATGGCTAATAATGCATTAAAATTGAATGATCATAATGCTAATTGTCATAAATGGTATGCCATTTCGATTGGTTGTCTTAAAGATTTTGTTTCGATAAAGGAAAAAATTAACAATGGCATCCAATTTAAAGAACATTTAGATATTGCAATGTCATTGAAAGATGATGATCCAACATTATATCATTTAGCTGGACGTTTTTGTTTAGAATTATTAGCCATTTCATGGGCTGAAAAAAAATTAGCCAGTATGATTGTCGGTTATAGTTTACCCGAAATAACTTATCAGGATGCCTTACAGTATTTTCTTAAAGCATATCAACTAAAACCACGATGGAAAGAAAATGTTTTCTTTATTGTTCAAACATTAATACAGATGAATGAACAAGTAAAAGCACATGATTATTTAAAAGAAGCATTAGCCATTCCATTTAATGAAAAATCTGGTGAAGAACAAATTATTCATGATAAATTGCTCAAACTTCAATCATCGAAATTTTCCTAACAAAATACGCGCCATCACATTATGCATATTTTTTTGAAAAAAAAATAATTTAAAAAAGAGATTTTAATATAGACAGAAAACAAAATTGAAATAAAAATTTTATTTATTTTTGGAATCAATCGAAAATTTTTTTTTTTGAACATTGACAAGATGTATCAAGTGGAAATAGTTGATATATGGTGTGGTTAAAATTGCCAAGTTTGTTTTGTTTTGGAAATTTTTTTGTTTCAATTTTTTTAAAATTTCAATCAAAATGAACAATTCCAAATGGAATGATTTACAAGCGATTCAAAAAAGAAATAATTCTATTAAGGAAAAAATTCTACAATGGAAACGACAACGTGAAAATATATTGAATGTATCATCATCATCACCAGTGCCATCATCATCCGCCATTCCAGCCGGTTTTGTTGATGAAAAAACAAATTCAACTTTTAAAAAAATTGAAAACAAATTAATCGATATTCTATTTGATAAATCAAATAATTTTCCTATTGATTTTGCTACAATTCAATCGCTGACATCAAATTTTACCGATAAAAAAACTACTAAAGAATTATTGATAAAATTTTCATTAAAAAAATTAATCGAATTAAATGAATATATTGGATCGGATGATGGTGAAAAAACAATATTTATTCTATCGGTTGATTATGATGCATTAAAATTATTGAAAGAAGATAATGAAAAAACAGAAGAACATAAATTGAAACGACCATTACGAAATGATGATAATGATAATGATAATGATCAATCAGAATCTAAATCCAAAGATTTACATACGGCGAAAAAATTTCATTCAAATAATGATAAAGAAAAATCCGATAATAATAATAATAAAAATGATTCAGTCGAAGGTATACTATCATTACAATCAACAATTGAAAAAGAAAATCAAAAAATATCCGAAGAAATACAACGATTATTATCAAAACCAACAGCAAAAGAATTATTATTGAATGAACAATTTCGTTCATTAAATCCAAATGTACAGGAATTTTGTCCACGTGGTACACCTGAAGAATGTATTCGGTCAAATAATTCAAATGAACCATGTGAACGTATACATTTTCTTAAAATTATACAAAAACATACTGATGAATCATTAGGTGATTGTTCATTTTTAAATACCTGTTTTCATATGGATACATGTAAATATGTACATTATAAAGTTGAAAAAAAGAATGATCCATCCATTTATAATAATAATAATAATGATAATAATACGGCTTCAACGATAACCAATCAGAATAATAATAATAATAATAATAATATCGTCATAACATTGGCAACAGCAACTGAACAACCATTTAAACGAAATCTTTTCCCTGCACAATGGATACGTTGTGATTTACGTTTTTTTGATATGAGTATTTTGGGAAAATTTTCGGTTGTTATGGCTGATCCACCATGGGATATACATATGGAATTACCATATGGTACAATGTCCGATGATGAAATGCGTAATCTAAATATTCCTTGTTTACAGGATGAAGGTCTTATATTTTTATGGGTTACTGGTCGTGCTATGGAATTAGGTCGTGAATGTCTTAAACTTTGGGGTTATGAACGTTGTGATGAATTAATTTGGGTAAAAACTAATCAATTACAACGTATTATACGTACTGGTCGTACTGGACATTGGATTAATCATGGTAAAGAACATTGTTTAGTTGGTTTAAAAGGAAATCCAAAAAATATTAATCGTAGTTTGGATTGTGATGTAATTGTTGCTGAAGTACGTGCTACAAGCCATAAACCAGATGAAATTTATGGTATTATTGAACGTTTATCACCGGGAACCCGGAAAATTGAATTATTCGGACGTCAACATAATACACAACCAAATTGGGTAACATTAGGTAATCAATTAGAAAGTATTTGTTTAATGGATCCACAGCTAATTGATACATATAAAAAATGTTATCCAAATGAAATTATCGATAATCTTCAATAACCAAAAAAAAAATCAATTTTACACCATCAATTTTTTAAAATATTTTGCATATATTTTTCATTTTATTAAAAAGAGAACGAAAAAAAAGAGAAAAAAATTCATCTCCAACGTTCGTTGCCTATATTTTCATTACATATAGCAAAAAAAAGAAAAAGAACGAGAGAAAAAAAAAATTCATTAAAAAGAGTGAGAGAAACAAAAAACGGGAAAGAAAATTCCGGATTCATTCATCAGATCGTTATCATTCATATAGAATAAATAAATATAGAATAAAATAAGAGTAAAGGAGTGATATTACCATTATTGTGATTTTACAAATAGACTCTCTATTGAAGAAAAAGAAAAATGTTTTTCATCAATTGCTTGTTGCGCGGTTTGTTTGGATTGATTCTTTTCCGCATTTTATCCTTTCGCAGATAGTGCGCGATTGAAACCAAACCAAACAAACAAGCAAAAATCAAAAAAAAAAAAATATATTTGCCTGTTGTCACATAAGATGTGTGTGTGTGTGTGTGTTGGTGGTGATGACATTTCAAAAGTTTTTTTTTATATATATAAAAAATATATTACACGGGGTTAATGAAACAAAAAAAAAAAAAATGATTAAATGAAATCAAGCATGATGATTATGAATGTTTGTTTGTTTTTTTTTTTTTTTCAAATTTCTTTAA